TTAAGTTTTAGAGGATTTTCTCTCTCACTCCCTCCAAGGGCTAAGAAGCCGATTTGGGAGTTTGAAGGGAAGAGGTTTCAGCGTCCATATTTGTTCTGGTGCACTTGTAAAATGCGATTTGAAGAGGATCTTTAGCCCTCTGATTGTCTTTGTATTGTTTTTCTTGAAACGGATCTTTTGCCCTTAATGAATCCCCACACAGCTGGACAGCTCCTGCTCGGACACTGAGAGCGCTAACCCCAAACTGACCCCAATTTGACACCACAAGATGAAATTTTACCGCCTGTTAAAACCATTTCCAGCCTCGGCAAAAGGAGCTGGCTGTTGACTGAGATGCACTTCCATACCGGACACCTCATTTCTCTTTGGACTTTTGAGCCGATCTAAAAAAAAAAAAAAAAAAAAAAAAAGGGGGGGGGAGAAAAAAAAGCCTAAACACACACACACCCCACCGACTCGTCTCTCACACTTTTCCTGGAAACAGCCTTCGCTGTGAAAGTGATGCACGAGAAATGGAAATTAGCCAATTTAATTTTCCCGAAGTACTGTGTTTTAAAAGAAATATGTCACCAGGCTGGGGGAGACAAAAAAAAATAAAAAAAAGATTAAATAAAAAATGACCCAAGAATGTGGAAGCCCCCACCCCCTGCACGCACGTATCCCATTTTGCTCCGAGTTCCCAACAGCATCTTTGTTAATAGCTGGGTACTTTCACTTAAGGGCGCTAAATTGAGATTCCTTTTTAATGGCTAAACTGTAGCGCTTTATAAACCATGTTCCCTGTGTGCTTTAATCCACTGGGATAGTGAAGAGGAAAAAGGCTTCAACTCTTTTCACGGGGAAAAAAAGACACAAGAGGAACATGAAAGCCCTTCTTTTACCGTATGAAATTTCACTTTCTATCAAGTTAAAATAATTTTTAAAACTTGGTCCCTGTCCCAGATTACACACATGCACAGCAGGGCGAGCCAACGCAGGGGGTTAATTAGTTTAGGAGGGGGAAAAAAAAAAAAAAAAAAAGAACAAGTGAAAGGAGCAGCATTGAACACTGCAAAAATCTTTGGCTGCTTTTTTTGCAGCTTTGATTTTAGATTGCTTTCTAACAATTTCTTAGTCAAGAGAACCGAGCTCTACAGGGACTTCTGTGAAAAATAGAATTCCGAAAAAAAAAACAACCCCAAAACGGTCTAAAATTATACCGTTAGCAATGAAGCCCTTTCTTCTATGGGAGCCAAGTCTTCTAAAAACTTAATTTTGAGAAGAAAACTGATGAACTTCTCCCACAGCTTGAGGTCTGAACAAATCTATGGAGCCTTCAGTGAAGCTAGATTACTTTTGCACGGCCACGGTACAAGGAAAGACCTCTTCTTTGGTGATACCGAAACTATTTGAAATGAGACACACTTGTATATCTCAAGAGGCAAGGCTCCGGGTTTGTACTGCCTCGGTTGAAAAACAAGTTTGGAAGCTACAAATATTTAAAACACGTCCCCTAAGCTAGCTGTACGGGTTGTATCAAATGATTCTATGCAAGTTTAGAAATCTGGCATCTTTGGGGGGGGGGGGGGGGGGGGGGAAAAAAAAAAAAACATATCATTCACCGATGAGTAGATCTCTTTAAAAAAATCTGTTAGAAAACTACAGCTGTAAAAGTAGGAAAGGATTTGCATAACCTACTGCTCTGTAGGTCTCCGCGCACCCAAAGGATTAGCCAAGCATTCATTACCATGAATATCTTGAATTACGTTACCGATTTATACGACAGAGTATAAAATACTGCACAAGAAGACTGGCTTTTTCCCTGCGAAATGAATCGACTTAACCACTGCTTGAAAGAGATCTACATACTAAGGGCTTTTTTACTCACCTCTCTTTACAGTCCCGTGAAAGTCAGTCACAGCAATTCGGTTGCTCTTAGGACTAGCTTTAATCTTGGAGGAGATCCTCTAGGAAAAAAAAAACGGGTCTGCTCTCCGGCTTCTGGCGGGTTTTAAGCAGGGTGCAACTCTGGCTAAAAGTAGGAGAGGGACTTTTCTCCATATTCCCCCCATATTTGTAAATACAGCCCCGCTCTGCAGAGCT